TCTCGATGCCATATATAAGAGAATTCCGTTAGGGATGAGATTACACTTTTTCTGAGTGTTGAAACCGCGTAGTTTGAAAATACGACTGATTCGCCCTGAGAATTAATTCTACCGAATTAATTCAACGTTACCGTAATTGAAAGTTGTCATGTGCAAATTGATCTTCGCGTTTGCAACACTGGAAGAATGTACGTTACACGGCCACCCGGTACGGAGAACGGATCTTGCGCGCGTGAGGCGTCGAATACGCGCGAATACAACGTGTCCGCGAAAAGCCATTAAAAGCTGCCGTGGCAATGGCAATGAAACAGGTGCTGCGTGCGCGTTTTTAGGTCGCAGGCATCACCGTTAAATGGGATGCTGTGCTTCCTTCGAGAGACAGGCGTACACGTGTCTCCGTGCGAAGGCCGACGATATTTATCCCCGTACGAGTGCCTTCCTGGCGCTACAACGAGCGCGAGCGTGTCTGATAACGGTGATGAGATTGACAAGCCTCTGATAACTATTGACTTGAACGCGACGAGAACCGTAATGAACAATACGGACCAATGAATGAGGCAGTAAATGGTAAAAATAAGTTCCACGCGAAGTACTGAAATAGAAAAGTAATATGTGAAGACCCAGAATTAAAATCAGAGTATATAATCTAGACGAATACTCTCTAAAGTACAATCAGTGTATTCTTCACTGAAATGCTATATTTATAATTAGTAGTTCAATTAAAAGTATAGCACTGCAATTAGTAAAATCTCGCTAAAAGAATCAGTTGATAGTAGCAACTGTTCCTATTATCGATGCAGTTTGCAAATATAGACATAATAAAAATAAAATAATAAATAATGACAACAGGATAACAAAGGTAACAATAAAAGATAATATAAAGGTAGAATTGAGCAATGGAATAAGAGAACATGAAGACGAAAGTCCTTGTTCTGAACTCTATCTTTTATCAGCAAAAATATCTCTAAATGTAAGCCAATCAGAAGGCTTCTATGTTTTGAAAGACATTTTTACCAACAGGAAAACTTTTTCAGAATAAAGGCCAAAGTCAAGTGACAAAATATTGCCTTGTAAAATCGGCGAAGTTATATGTATGTGTGTACACGGCCAGTGAAAATTTCCTGTTACAACAGTCTCGGAAAGAGACGATAAATTAAGAATGTAACATTATGTACACAGAGAAAGTCCGAGATGTAATGTGATCGCCCGACAAGTTATCGTTGTCTATGTGCATGCGATTACACAAGAAAATGATCAAGTATTACTCGTCTGGCGGCTCGTAAATGCGATCGATTTAGAATACGAGTTAAAAGGAAAGCGAGATATGTAAAACCGGAGTTCACCGATTTCTCGGGTACTTAGAACCTGATCTATCCAATCGCTCCGGTAGCTTCCGCAACAGCCATTTGATATTTCACCGCGCTGGTTTCTGTAATTACATGTGCATTATGCGTGCTGTTATGCGCAACGACATTATCACAGAAGCTAATTTCCAGCGTGCGGGTCAATTGCTATTCGCGCCACGATTTTTATCATCACGCCTGTCAGCTTGCTTCATGAAACGCGAAGAAGCTCGCCGCTCGCGCTGAGATTCGCGAGAGTATTATCAGTCACGTAAGAAAAACATTCGCATTAGCGTCCAATTTTAAACTGTTACGTGACATGACGTCTCTTCGAACATTTTAATCCTTTGAGCCACACATCTTATTTCATGGTGAAGTTTCTTCAAATTTGACGTATGGGCGATTTTGGAGTTATTGATTAAGAATTTGACGTCAAAAAGTTAAAATTCGAAGTGGCGAGTCTAATATAACGATCATAAGTTTTCAAAATTAGCAATCTCGCTTTTAGCATTATTCCGAAATAACGATAATATTTTCTCGATATGAAAAAAGAGATATTTGCATTTTTGGCAAGAAACTTGCAGCAAATATATTATCAATATTTAAACAGTCTATTGAAAAAAGTAAGACTTACAGAAAATTTTGAAGAAAATGTAAAATATTGTTAATAAACTGTTAATGTTTTGATGCGTCGATTCCTAATGGTTAACTCTAAAATAATTTTTTACTAAAAAAAGTGTTTCTACGTTTATTTGCTTATAATAATTTAACAAAACTAAATATTCGAATTATATTTTATTTATTTTTAGTTCCTTATGTTTATGATAGTATATAGTATTAATATAATCGACTGTCTACAGAGTAGTTAGTTAAAATCACTAAAAATGAAGAAAATACATAGAAGATAAAATACTAGAATCCTACTGTGACTCAAAGGGTTAAGGCTCGTCCACAATATGTACACAATACAAACTTGGAGTATAAGATGAAGTAAGAAACAAAAATAATCTATTTCGCTTATGTCTACACTCTAGCCTGCTTACATCGGAAGTATTTCTCTCAAGTAAGAGAAGTACAGTTTATTCCGCGTACTGTTGACGAGTCTTTAGAGTTTCGCGATTCGCGAATCGGTCTGAGAGTGCGTCAGCAGCGACAGGTGCGCCTTGGACGGGAAATAATCGAGTATGGAAAGCAAGTACGGAAAGATATGCGAAAATACGTGGATATTTATAGACACTTAACAATGTTAGCGGACAAGCGCAGGCAAGGCCTGCACGGCGCGGCTCGCTGGTGAAGATGTGCTCGCCGCGGTTCGCGCACGTTCCGTTCTTTACGAACGATCGAACGCGGCCACGAACAATTTGCTACATCGCGATAAAATTCGCAGACTATTCTCCTTTGTTCGCCGAACGGCCAGCGACTCCGATCGGCCGATGCTGATTCCACCTTCGGCTCTATATCGGCGGCAAGAATCTCAAGGGTCGGGAGATGTGCGCATCGCGTCTTTATTGAAAGAGAGTCGAATTTACATTTTAAAGAGAGAAGAGATATCGCGCCTCTCTCTTTCTCTCTTTCGTGCACAATGTTATCATGCCGTAATTTACAAGAGATGAGAAATATCTCGTTGAGTATTTTTGCAAGCGGCGGCTGCTCGTCCGCAAGTTGTTCCGCCGCGTTTGCGAGTGCGATAGAAATGGCAGAAAATAAAAGATTCATCGAGCAGCAAAATCTGATTGTTCACATTTGATGGAAGAGAAGATCGTATTATCGTTTCAAGTATTAACGTTATAACGTTACAATGTAATCTTCAAAATTATCACAATAATATAATACATCTTTTCGGATGTTAATTTGTCTCACTACACTGAGAGAAAAATATCTAAGAAATACACGGAAAAAAAAGATTTGCTAATATATGGACAACTAAAAATATTAATTGCAGAAACAAATTTTCTTGCTTTTATTATTCTATATATATATATATATATATATATATATATATATATATGTAACTTATATATATATATATAGTTTACTTATATATATATATAGTTATATATATATATATATATATATATATATATATATATATTTAATTATGCTATATAAATATAATATATATATATTAATAAATCTTTTAGCTATCACAACTAAATAACTTTTACTATGAAAACAAGAAAATTTGCTCTTGCAGTTAATATTTTTAGTTGTCCATATATTAGCAAATATTTCTTTTCCGTATAGTAAATATTTCGATGGGCTAATAACATATATTTACTTACACATGTAAGATAATTTTTCAAATAAAAAATATACATATCTTCAAAACTTCAAGAAAACTTTAACTTTCATGAAAGCAATTGTTCACTCTACTCAAATAAATGAATTGAGTTTTAAATAAATATGCTATGAGCACTCACCCCAAATAAGTATTCTTTATTTTTTAGACGTTTTATTTCTTAGTATAAACCGAGATGAAACAGTGTGATTTATCTCACATTGAAATTATAAACATCACTTACTACAAAAATTGCTTTCGCGACTGTAATAACTTCGCCGTGTAATTGCAGTCACAAATGTTAAACACTTTTTTCTCAGTGTACATTTTATGCTGATTCGTGATTTAAATATCTTAAAACCGCAATGATTGATGCCATCTAACATCTGTCTTAAATCCCAAGAGACTTCTCCCTCTCCTTTTCTCACCGTTCGTTTCTGTCTTCTTTTTATTTTCTTTTGGTCGTTTGAACCGTACGCGGCCATAAATTAGTTATGAAATCGTCGTATGCGCGATGACGGACACGTCTGTGTTTGAGCATGGTTTATACCGTTGAAGAACTTTGCGTCGACATTCCACCGGCGAAGTCGCGCACGCGAATAATCGGCGCGCCTTTGAAATTGCTCGGCGCTTGCTTGCGAGTCAAATTGTCGGCCGTAGGCACGTACCTGAGGGACTTTTCAGGACGGGCCGAAGGTACACGGCGAGATAAACGCGAAAGAAATTCCTCCTCGTGCGCGGGCTTTAATAACAACCTCCTCCCGACTTGTTGCGCAATAAATCCGATCACACGCGGACATCCTCGCGGGCGCAATAGCGATAAATTCATACCAAGCGTCTGAAGGTTTTCCCCAGCGCGCGTGTAAGGACTTTCTCTCTTTCTCTCTCTCTTCCTCTCTTTATAAAATTCCCCGCGGTCGATTTATTTCTTCGACGAGCGTGCACTTATCCCGTGGCTTAGAGAGGCACGTCCCGCGCGAAATTACGCCGAAGAGATGATACTCGAATTTTTACTCGGCGCGCATTTGACGGTAAGATTTTTTTCTCTTTTCCTTCACACAGGCGAGCTTCCTTTCTCCCCTCTCCCTTCCTCCGTCTACGGTATTTTTCCGAATACCAAGACATTCCTCTCGTTCCACTCCGGGTGACTCGGACATGAAATACCCGTTCTCACGACTGCAGGTTGCAAAATGACGATTACTCCAGTCGTCGAGACAGTAATTGGACTGAGCGTGAATTTCGCGCAGACACATGATCTTTTTTGCTACACTTTCTCGCTCGGCGGCGTTAAAGCGTTGTAATTAAAATAAAAGGAGATGACACGCTCTTCTTGCATTAATTCGCGTGGATTTAAACGCGGCCGTCTATGATCTGTGCAGTCACCGGAAAATATGGGCTCGGAAGCCTGGGAGCTGGAGAGGAGGTACTCGGTGCCGGGAGCCTTGGATACCAGAGGCCTCGAGCCGCCGGCTAGCGAGGATCTGCACGCATGGTCGATTTACAGGTGAGCACTTGTACTTGCTTAAGGCAGAAGCGTATAATCCACGTATCTTCCTCCCCCTCCCCTCTCCTCTCTACGTACGGTGCCCGATCTAAATCGCCGGAGGCGGAACACCAAAGCGAATGCAGGAGCGCGATCTTTTTTGCTACGTGGAATAAATGGCCCGTCGAGTTTGTTCCTTCACTACGTAGCTTTGCGTGTCCTCTTTCTTCCTCTCCAATTAACGGTATTATTCGTATAAAGAGATATTAATATTAATTACTATTGTATGCTGGTATTATAATTATTATTATTATTCTTATTACGTTATTAGCGCGTTAGTACATGCTTTTCTGCAAATGTAAAATCTTAGAGAAGGCTGGGCTTGACTTCTCCCCGGCGGAAATCTTCATCCCACTCTTCTACGTTCAATATTGTGATTATCAAGGGGAATAATATCTCATTATTTATTTGTGTTCTTGTATAATTCTCAATCATGTCGACAAAAAGATATCAATACCGTGACGTGTGAGCAACGAATCGTTCTCGCGAGTCCTTTTTCGAGGACTGAGGATCCGCGGCTGAGCATTTCCTCAAATGTTTCACCGCGCATAAAGGAGGAGCTATTAAGCGTGGCGGAATGTCGATGTACGCGTGCATGTATACATGCATTTCCGCAATTCCGCAGGCAAAACCTGAACTCCGACTTCACGGACTCCGCGCTTGGCTCCGCAGAGAAGTCGCCGCTGCCCTACGGGAATTTCCAGCTACGCGACTCCACGGTGCAGAGCATACTGCGGCATCCGCGATACGGGCCGAAGAGCCCGCTGGCCAACAATTCTTATACGTACTTGAAATTCGGTCTGCCGCGCGTCCTGCCACCCAGCTCGCGGAATCGCGACGGTTCCAGCGGCTACGACTCCAGCGAGGAAGGACGACGCGTGTCGCATGCAGGTACGCGTACAAATCACGATCGAGGAAACATTCAAAGTCTTTGAACGAAAATGTCTTGTTCTTCTATCGTTTCCACGTTATCAAATGTATTTATCGAACTTTATTTTTTCTGGTTGCGCGAGAAGAGAGAACAGATTGAATAAAATTCGATTCGAGTCGCAGAGACTTTCAATGAATTACGTTGCTACTGTTGTGTCACGTATGTCAGGATCAAATGGTGCAGTTTACGCAGATATTTCGGGAATACAATTACACGGGATGTAGAGAAAACACTGTCTGGTCATCATTTACTTACCAGTCATACTCTGAGCGCAGGTGCTCCGATGCATACGACTTCAGTTATGCGTTCGGCTAGGAGTGACCCGGACTTCAGGCACGTCCACGCCATGCCGAGGGAGCAGGCGCACTCTCAGTTGACCGTGGCGAGGGACCATCCGAGGCTGAGGAGCGCCAGCGAAGCCAATCTTCTACAAAGCGCAATGAGGACCAATCGCCGACACAGCATTGCACCGATTGATCCTGGATACATAGCACACGGTGAGATCAATTAAATGGCAAATTCACCACTGTCAAATGCGTCTAATGTACGTTAGCATTAACAAGATTGAAACTGAAAACATTTGCGTCGCTTTCAGAATATTTCGAGGTCGAAATTTTGATGCTGCTTTGACCTCAACATTCCACTTAACGCCTATCTTGATAATTTAAAGCGTACAACGATCTTTTTTATTCTGTTTAACCTACTACTTCGCCAAGAGGACATCTTTTTAGAATCTACAAGTAGCATTTTGTACATTTTCTGCTAGTTAAAGACATTAGGATTTCAGTTTTTATGTATATTAATCCTTTCGTTACTAATTTTGTTTTTTTAAGATATGATTTTACTCTCATTTTGTAGAATATATTAATATAATATAGTTATATAATATAATATAGTATATAATATTAATATAGTTTCAGCAAAAAAATTAAAGTTTCATGATCACTCTTGCTTATATCTTAAATCTTCTTTGTTCTCGATATGAAAATTTTCTCCTGAAATATTTCCCTAACGCGCCGATTACTTTACTCAGCTTTTCCTTATTTCGAATCTTGTGAATTTTGAACGATCAGGACGTCGGATGTATGAGAAACCGCACGACTGTTTCGCAGGGCATGGTATTCTTGGGCCGGAAGGTTACGCGCTGCCATTGAGACCCGTACCGTGTCTGCAGCATCCGCACCTACAGCTGCGAGGTGTGGAGGCATCAGGCTCGAACGGGTTGCCGCTTCTTCGTGGCATCACCCTGGAAGCTGGCGCCGCCGAGGTGCTGGCCATCATGGCGACTACTGAGAAAGAAGGCACGCAAATTGTCGAGACGATTGCTGGCAGAAGGCGCATCAAGAGAGGCGATATTCTGCTCAATGGAAGATCCGTATCGGCACGTACTCTGAGGTACTTTCTAATCTTCTTCCTGCATGTGCGCTTTGTTGCAGTTCACGCTACTGAACTGCACCACGTGTGCATTGCGCAATTGGTAACGTGGTTTTGAAGAATAAACGGCTGTCTTAACCGCCCCGGGAAATTTGTGTTCAACGGAGAACATGAATATACAAAATAATCTTTAGTGAAGAGATGAAATCGTGTCGGTTAAGTCTTCTGTTTCCAGCGATATACGATTATAGCGCAGGAATGTCGACATCTTTATCGCCGATGAATCAGAATAATTGGGTGAAAAGTTTACATGTATTATCCGAGTACCTCTGACAGTATGTGTTGGCCTCAAGTCATCGGTAATCGGTTTGTTCCTTTCTAGATCATAAAACCGGCTATGACGTAGTCGGAGAAGGAAGTTTTAGCTAACCGCGGCTAACGGTAACCGACATTAGCGAAACAGGCTATAACTAGCCTGCTGTAACTAGGGAACGTATTAGCATGCAAATTTACGTGTAGCCGTAATAAGTTGAATAACGAGTGGTACTTATTATTCAATTATCACTTCAATTGTTCATCTAATTGTTGCGGCTGCGATTGTTGACTCACTCGCGTGATCTTGAAAAATAACTTTCCAACATCGCGTATTACGTGAATAATACTCTTGGTATCTCGTTCATTCTACGAAGCGTTACTTCCCGGAAATTTTTTTAAAGTGTATAAATTCAATTTCAATTCGTTTTTCTAGAGTAAAAATTCTATTAAAAGACAAATAAAATGTCTTCGAATTTTATTACCGTTGTCTTCTATCAAATGAGACGATAGAACGCCTTAGTGCAATTCAAACTAATATTGATAAGTAATCGAATAATTTTGTTTTAAGAGATTACGCGAAATGGAACATTCAATTGACAACATTGAAATCGAAAAACAGATCTCGCGTCGCTTACCTACCGACGGAGAGCGGCCTGAGTCCCGGCTTGACGGCCCAGCAGACCCTGCGCTTCTACATGCTGCTAAGAGGCGGCAGCAACACCACCACGCTCGAGGCCGAGGCGATTCTGCAGGAGCTCGGCTTGGAGGCGACCAAGCACTGCCTGGTGAACACCCTTACGACTTCCGAAGCCCGGCGCCTGGCTCTCGCTTGTCGGCTGCTCCAGGACTCGCACATCCTTGCCTTGGACAGACCCACGCATGGTCTGGATATTTTCGACGCCTTCTTCTTGGTCGAATACCTGAGACAATGGGCCAGCCGTGGTCAACGGCTCGTCATCTTAACCCTGCATCCGCCGACTTATGAGATCCTGACGATGGTGTCGAGGGTCGCGCTCACGTCTGGCGGCCGAATCATGTACTCCGGGCTCAGAAGAGACATGCTGCCATATTTCGCGCTCGCCGAGTTCCCCTGCCCCCCGTTCAAGAATCCGTCCGACTACTATCGTACGTAATATAAATTGAGTTGGATATTATAAGTAACGTGCAGTGAATCTATTCTGCTGTAATACGTGGTTGGTATCATTCAATCAAGTGCGTACAAGAGTGCCAAAACGTTCAGCGATTCTATGAGCGATACTTCGCAAAAAAAGACTAAATTAAAAAAATACTTCACTTCCGTGAATAAATTTAATAAAAATAGAAGAGAAAAAAATAGAAGAGAACAACAAAGTTAAATTTTCAGACTACACTGAGAAAAAAAATATTGGAAAATTTATTTGTGTTATATAAAGTTTATTTACACAGAAATAAACTTTATATTCCACAAATCAATTTTTCTTTTCTCCATGTATTTTCACATTTTCTTTATTTCGGCGACTAATATTCCGCTTGAATCTTTTAGTGAAATGATGAATAATATGCGTTATTGAGGAAACAAGATTTTTGTTTCAACTTAACTTCATCGACTAACTTGCCTGTTTTAGTTGATTTGGTGACATTGGATGACCTGTCGGCGGAGGCGATGTTAGAGTCCTCGCAGAGGATAGATCACCTAGCGGAGTTGGCTAGGACGAGATTGCCTCCTCTCAGCGATCCTGGGCCACCTGGTGCGCTACCTCCGCCGAGATCCGGACCGAACATATTTATGCAAATCTACGCGCTACTATTGCGAACGTTAATCTACAGTCAACCGTGGACATTGACACGATTGCTGCGAAAAATAATTATCGGAGCATCACTCAGTATCCTACTCGGCGCAATATTCTGGGATGTGGCCGGCGAGTCGAATCTATATCTGAGGGACAGAATAGGCTATCATTATATTAGTTTGGGGATCTTTTTCTGGCCTTTAAGTCTATTAGCGATGTGCGAAGTCGCTGACAGCAGGCCGAACGTCGAAAGGGACATTCGAGACGGGCTCTACGGTAGATTTATTTACATCCTCATGGAGGTAAGTTTGACATGCGAAAACCATGAATTTCGTTTCAGGAACCGAAGAAAAGTTACTGAGAAATGAGAATCGCGACGAAATATTCGAGACACTTGATTGTTCAGTCCAATTTTGCGACATGTTGCGTGAGTTAATCAAAAGTGTAACTACTTGCGATCAATCGAAACATATATCTAATTATAACTCACACAACTAGTAAAAAATATATATATGTATTAAAAAAATATTAAGAATGCAAAACAGAAGATTATACGCAGAAAGAACGTTTGGTTGGATTAACATTATTAATGAAATATAAGCGAACCAGAAAATTCCAGTTGAACTTGAATAGAATTCTGTTAAACGGAAATCTTGTTAATCTCAACAGAATTCTGATAACTTCATTCAAAATTTTTGGATCGTTTATATTCCACCAGAAATTTAGTTAATCTAACCAAACACACTTGTTCCGCGAATAAATTTAAAAATAGAAAAGAGGAAAAGAAAAGGCAGTGAAGATTATCGATATATTTTGCAAGAAAAAGACATCGACAAAGAGACCAGTCAGGCACGACGTCACGCGGGATGTTTTCGTTCGCAGCTAATCTGCAGCGTGCCGTCTTGGTGCGTGGTCTACCTGATATACCTGGCGCCAGCGTTCGCGATGTCGGGGCTGCACATGGTGCCGGACGAGAACCTAACGTCTCTGTGGAACTACCTCGCCGTCGGCCTGCTGTACCTGATGCTACAGCACCTTGTCTGCGTGTTCTTTGCTCACGTGTGCAAATGGACGTACCTGGCGGCACTGTTTGCCGGCATCGTGGTGGGCGAGACTACCCTGTCCGGCGGCGTGGCGTTGCACATGGACAATCTGCCGTCGTGGTACCAGAAGATCAGCCCCATGCAGTGGTCGTTGTCGCTGCTGTTGCCGCGTTTGCACAAGAGCGAGAGCATGGGCAAACTGGCCAACTGCAAGCCGAAGCAGATCCAAAGGCAGGACATTATCATCCAGGCGGCTTGCGAACCTCCCGACGGCGCGTTAGCCCTCCGTGAGATCGCCCTCGACAGGCTGAACGTGCGTGGGGAGTTGTGGCTGGGCATCGGCGTGGGCGCCGTAGCCGTGCTGATCGTTCTGGGCTTCTTGTGTATTAAGTACGCCACCCCAAAGAGGCCCAGAAGCGCCCCGAACAAACCCTGATCGCGAGGGTCGAAGGAAATCGCGTCTTCGCGAAAGGCAGAGTCCAGAGACCGTACACTTCCGGGTGCCACGAAGGTCGATCTATAAGTGCCTGCGTGTCTTTAGTTAGCCTCCTTTGTTACGACAGAGAAGACGCCTCGAGAATATTTTCGACGATAGAATCTGTTTTATTCGATAATGAGGAATATTGTGGACTTCAGTATAGCCTACCGTTTTCTATTTCCTCTCTTGAACCACTCGCACTCGTAAAGTCTTGTCTTCGCGTCTATCTCGCTGCGATTTTTTAAAGGGACGCACTTTAGAGACTCGCAGGGTAGACAGAGGCGGTACTGCGGAGTACAAAGCTTGAGAAGACGCTCGTCCCGTACAATAGGAGGCTGCCGTTGTAGACGGCAAATAAACACACTTAATACTGCTGCGTATATTGTCTTAACCGATACGTAATGTTGTAATCGTATGAAATAAACCTTCTTATAAAACGAACAATTTTGGCCCATCCTCTGTGACTCTATACGCTCAGAAAAATCTCTGAAACTTATTTGAAATTATTGGTCTATGATTTTAGATCGGCGCAATCTCGCGGTATAAAATGCGTTATAGAAAGTCTTGTGTTGAATTCAATATGTTTTACATGTTCCAATTTATCCGTCCCAATCTTCGTGTTAATTTAATCCAAGGAAAATATGCGAACAAACAATACAAATAGGCCGAAAGTCAACACAAAAATGTAACACTTGAACACTGTTGTGTTATTTTAACACGTAAAAATTAGAAACATGAACTCAACATGACATAAGGACAATATGTTAAATTAACACACGGGTGTTAATATTAAAAATTTAACAAGAGGACTTCTGCATGTATCAATTTCCACACAAATACAAAATTTTTTTTACCATGTGATATTCCAATTTTATCGCTTCAATGATAAGCAACATCGTCAGTCATGATGTGTCTAATATTTTGACCTCGATTTTAATAAACGTCCAAGAGAAATGCTTTTAATTTATAAATACCTAAATCACGATTGCAAGATTTAGATTCTAGTTGTGTATGAGGAATTTCTGTCTGCATCGTTCTTGCCGATTATTTCAGTAGAGCGTTTCCTCGCAGACTCTCGTTAATCCTTTTTACGGCGCGCCAAATCGATAACACGGCAGGGAATTTTGCTACCAGCGGACAGCACCGGACAGCTGTTTCGACAATGGGTAACTGATTTGTTCAGAGTGAGCGTCCACTCGTAGGCTCCATCTAGACATAACCGCCGATACTGAAGATACCTGTCGTGTAAATTATGAATTCCATTAGCGGAGGAAGGAACGTATTAACATCGAGATCTCGTTACGTTCATGAGAGAAGCGCAGCATTCGTTTTGCAGGACACTTCAGAAACATGAAGCACGCGCACGGGCTTGGATATTGCGCGGGAGAGAATATAAATTTAGATAAAAGAGGAGCGCACGACGACCGGAAATGCATCTCCACACGTTTCTATCGCGCGTTGTTCGGGGATCGATGGAGCGGCCATCCTTCGTAGGCGCCACGCTCTACGCAAATCGAGTTTATAAAGAGCCTACGAGCGTTAGACGTTTATTAGAAATCGATAGCACGTCGAGCAAATTTATCCCGTGGATGACGCATGTTAAGAAATGTAAAGTGCGATTAAAAATAAAAACAACTTGCTCCTTCGTCCGTGCCGCTGGCGGTTGGCGTCGTTATACTCTCTCTCCCTCTCTCCTCTCCTCTCTTCTTCTCTCTTTCTCTCATATGCGCGCGTGATACTTTATTAAAGAATCGAATTCCAGCTAACACGTTTCTGCGTTATCGTAAGGCAGATACAGAGAGAACGAGAAAGAGAGAAGAAAGAGCGAGAGATAGCCGAGTATCGTGAATTTATTAAGCAGATCCGATTTTAGCCGGTATCGGCCCCTATATTTAGCGTCGCGTTTAGTCGTTAAATACGACCGTCCGACTCCGAATTTTATTCGTCTGATACGAAGACCACATCCGGCGAAAATCAGACAGTGACGTGTATTCATCATGCTATTTCATGACGTGCTATTTTGCCAGCGCTCTTTTTATTTGGCGCGGTGGGCGATCGATTATTCCTATCGAACTATTCATTCTCGCGGTCGTAGTACATACGAGAAGAGTGCGCGCTCCGTATCGCAATTATAATTCACTTTTACGTAAGCGCGCTTACTTTCATCGCGATCGAGCTTGCAATTAATTACGCCAATTAGCGCCGACGTTCGTCGAACTCGGCAACGTTGCGCGCCGCGTGAGATCGTTTATCGCTATCGTGCCTATCTCCGCCCGGACGATCTCGCGAGCAGATATGAGAACGGGATGATAAAACTGTCAAGAATGGAAGGATTCCAGTCACGCTGTGATTCATGTGCGCGTACGCCTATCTCGAGTGGCATCTCGCGTTGATTCGTCAAGACTGCGAACGTTTTAAAAAATCGTATGCTACAGGCCGACGCAAATGTCGATCTTCAAATCGATGTATCATTTATTAGAATATTCAAAGTTATGTAAAATCCTATGAAAAGAAGTGAAAGTTGGCCGCACTCTTTCTACAAAAGTCTTTTCGTCTGTTTAATTGCGCAATTTATGATTTAAAAGTTCCAGAACGCGATTTTTTTCAGTAAAACTCTAAAATCTCACCGAAAATTGCGTTCTAAGCTATAAACTGTCTAAAAGATAACGTCGGACATTTTTCAATTGATATAAAAAACAAGCTTGTAGTAAATAATTAAAAAATAAGAAATAAAATTTTTTCTAACAAAAATATGAACTTTGCCTCCGAAAACTTCAAAATCATTAGAAAGTATGAAATAATATTGACCCAATATTTCTATGTACTTGCAATTCTATCCTAATATTCTAATGATGTTAAAAGTCAGCACCAAAAGACAATATAGATAAGTATCTAATTACGTATAAATGCAGAGAGATAATAGATAATGAAAAGAACATATGATTATTGACTCAATTAGTCAGGTTTTCGCGTCGACTTCTAATATCATTCGAATATTAGGACAGGATTGTAAATATATTGTTACACTCCGAGAAAAGATGTTTGGTACTTGTAACTATAATGATCATTTTTTGTTTCAGTGTATAGAAATATTGAATGAAAATTATTTCCTATCTTTAAGGGTTTTTGAAGTGTGTTTTTGAAGGAGATTTATATTTGTTAAAAAAATTTTTTATTATAATGCCATATCTACTGTTAATGTTCCCAAACACTATGACGCTGATTTATCTGTCGAAGACGAAGAATTAAAGGACGTGTCTGTAGTGACGCAGCACAAAGCCAACATCTAACGTAAGAGAAGCTTGAAGTTTTTAGGGCTTAGCGGAGAAGCCCTGTCCAAAGCTTCACTCGCGCACACCTACACATTCGATTTAATTTTTTTTTCTTCGCATCAACGAGTGGGCGGCGCAATCTCGCTTCGGAAATATCGCCGGTAAATGTCAGTGATATCGTAAAAAGTAGAGATTAGTGTGACTTTCGAGGTAACGCGCTTAAGCTCTCTCTCACATACACACACACTCTCATACATATATACTTTCTCTCTCTCTCTCTCTCTCTCTCTCTCTCTCTCTCTCTCTCTCTCTCTATCTTTCGTAGGATACCCGTGTATTTATATAATTCTACGTGATATTAATTTGCACGGGCAGAAACGCGAATGTTAAATTTTGCCCGGAACCAATATAATGTCGGCTTTGCTTCTACAAATATCACGCCGACGTGAATATCCGTCCGTTTTGATATATAGAGGACGAGGAAAAAACAGAAGAGAGCCCGGATTACGGTCGTTAAATTAAATTCACAAATGAACAGGTTTCCAACAGAAGTGGAATCGATATTCCGCCGCTGTTTGCGAAAGACTCGGCGTCCCGCTTTCGTGCCGATCGTATTAGGCGCGGAAATTCGTTATGTAACACGTTACAAGCAGACTCCTTGAGACGAGGCGAATGCCGATCCTGCAAAAGGAACTGTCCGCGCAAGTATCGGAATTCACAGCTCGGACATCGAGTCTAAATAAAGCGAAGTCGTCGCGTACAATGAATCGGGTCTCCTTTGTAACACGCTCGTATCAGCAACGGTACAGGACGTTTCACGAGTACCTGCGGTACACCGTATCCTATTTGTACTCCTGTTCTATCATATTCGCGAATCGTATCTTTCCCTTGGACGGATCTCTCAGGTGAATTTTAGCAGATCGTCCACATCGAATTGAAAAGTGAGTCGCTCTACGGGGAATTTCGAGAAGACGATTCTCAAGGCAGTTTCTTGCCTCATCGCGAGCCTCTAACGGATCTCCTCTGCAGATCCTAGCGCCGAGCCTGTCACACGTGGGACAGCCAGTACAGCTGATTTCTCAATGAATCGACCTTTGTACGGACGGCCCACAAGAAACTCGTTCATCGCGCTTAGGAGAGAGAGAAAGAGAGACGCCGCGGAATGCCGGCGAATTATTGCGATACGACGGAAATTGAGGATCGCGCGTTTGTGTAACGTCGTCGGGGAGAGTTACTACGGCGATTTACGTAATGAGCCTAAGAGAGCGCGCGCTTTTCCAGGAATTATCGTCATGCCGTCATGCGGCGGCCCACGCCGCCGAGACTTAATTACTTTCATCGACGGAAGCGGCCGTTTGCAACGGTAATCGGCAATTTATGCTGGCTAGCAAGCCTAAGCTCCAGTAATCAAAGGGTCGGCCTTTGATGACGCGAGTTGGACTCGACTTTGTTGTGTGCGTCCCGCCTGTCTCCCTTCATCGACTTCTTCGTGTTTTTCCATAAGCCAGCGATCTAACAGATTGTGTAGAACGACGGCGTGGTTCCCTGTCTTCCTTTTTTTCTTTCTTTTTTTTTTTTGAAGAATTCAGGATATCGATCTGAGAGTCACATGAATATTGAAATCAAATTGCTTCACCGGAATTCTTCAAAATATCGATTAAGTCTAATCTTTGTCAGATGAATCGACCTCGAAGACGCGTAAGTCGTAAATGGAAGGTAAGTCATGATACAGCAAAGAACGCATGCGAAATGACGTTAACTAACAATAATAATTAAACAATAAATACAACGGCAAATTTGCGCGAAAGTTACAGCGCCGTGCTTATTCGAACAAGATCGAAAGGGAATGTGATTAGTGTGCAGTATATCGCGCGATTAATATAAATAGTATATTATTATCACAAAGGCGATAAAAATACATTATTATTGTCATCATGTTATTGAGTATTAGATATTATTATTAAGACGCAGACACGGGCATAAAGAGCTTTGGATTAGATCGAAACAAGATAAAGGGGGCAAAGAAATTGCCCAGTGGGAGGCAGATAAAGAAAGCCAAACAGAAGAGAGAGAAAGAGGCGGGAGAAAAAGAAAGAGGAAGATGAGCAAAACGTGCGAATCATCGTAGTTACGTCGCGTCAATGCACCATTGTGTTATAATATAGCGAGGAGCGCGATCCTCAAGACTTTCATACGATAACCGTCGGTTATACAAGCGGCAAGTGAAACCGCGTTATTTCCGGTCGCCCGGTTCATCCTACGCACGGCTATTGAAATTCCTCGATGCTCGCATGCCGAGATCGATATTGCTCCGCAAACAATATCGAATCTGTACGACGTTGGTCTTGAATTGAGAGAAAACAACGATTAATCCAACAAAAATTATAGTTATTTTTGGCCCCAACTATATTTTTCGATTGTACTAAAATGGTAATAATAATCTGCACATTATATAAGGTTGTTATCATTAACGTTATAGAAGATTTTAACAAAAAAGTTTCCTGGTCACAAATTGTAATAATTATCACTCTATGTTTGATTGTGTAGTTATAAATATCAAAGCTGTTTTTTTAGTGTGCCGAATAAATATTGACAAAAAGCAATAATAGTAATTCGCAGAGATTATATGAAATTTTACTATATATACATTTTAGTTCTCGCAAAAATACGCGTACCCAATAATCACAGTGATTATTTTAACAGGGCATAAGATTAACTTTTTTTTTTAAATAAAATGGGCGTTACTGGATAGGTTTTACATCGAAGACATCATCGCTTTCTCAATGAGCCAATTTCGTATAATGGCAATTTTCGATATGGAAAAACAGTTTTGTCACTAATGTGACATCTGTAATTTCTTGATATCGAGTCTTCTCGAATTCTGCTCCGCGCAAATCTGCTCCAATTAATTTCTGCTAATCAGTCCACGTTAATTTCACGCTAATCAGACATTCCAACTCACCGATCGGATCTCCAATTTGGAAGTATTAGGTTTGGAGAAATATGACACTCGCGATTCTTTCGCAGTTAACTTTGAAGCGTTGCAAATTTCGTTGAGCGCATTCGCATCTTGCAAGGGCAGAGCGGCCAGAGAAAGAAACGAGAACAGTTCCTGGCGATCAGACGGTGTGTTGTCGGTTGACACAGCTGCGCAACCCGTAAGCGGCGCGTGCTCTCTGTTTTATTAATGGACTTTAAATTCAATTACAATTTCTGAAGGTATGCGGCACGCGGGAACGCGCGGATTGTCTCACGGGCCATCTGACACGCCGCGTAAACGGACTCCGTCCTCCTCTTTCTTCTTCTCCTCCTCTTCCTTGACGACGACGCTGCACGTTGTTTATTATGCGTACGTATGCGAGAAGGGAGGACGAGTTCTCTAATTATAGAGAACAATACTATCGGCACGCAGACGTTTATAAATAACCCGATCATCCCGTGATGTCATCACGGTCTCGTATCCTCGCTCCGGGGACAGGATTCCTCTCCGTTGGACCTTGACCGATATCCCGTCAAGCGTACTTTATTTCATCGAATTATCCACGTAGCCTCCCCGCGTCGAAATGGATATCCAGGACTCTATGCGACGGCCCGTCAGTTAAGAACATTTTACGCGACCTATGTATGCTAAATGTTAAATAAATTTATCGCGACATACGTACTGTTGGGAGAAAAAGAGAGAAAGTTTGTTCGACTTCAAATTCTGGAGTCGTATTCTTAACTGGTTAGCCTTTCTAATTCGCAAGTTAAATACTTATATGGGAAAACCTTATGTGGCAAAATTCGTATAAGGAAAACGGAACTTGGAAGGAAAAGAGCATACTTAGCGCCCGAAATGTTCAAATTACGACTCCTGGTTCTTCGTCATGGAATTTTGAATTAATGACATTAGAAGCGAAAAATAACACGCTGAAAATTCTTAAACTTATTCTACAACAGCCGTAAAAGTTATTAAGCAAAGCAATAAGTTAATTAATCAATGGGAATCTTAAGGTTTAAAAATAATCGATTGTGGTTGGCCAATTTGCTTATTGCTTACGTCTTACTTATTCTTACATTGTAGGATGTGCTATTTCAAAATAAAAAGATATTTATATGAAAGAATACTTCTAATCGCTTAAGTGTTATATTTGCTTAAAATGTTCCGGAAACTATCATCTTCTCTCGACAGTCAGTAAATAGCCAATATATACCTAGTCAATAAATAGTTAATAAGTAATAGAATTAACATGACATTCAACCTTCATCTTCAGCCTGTCTTTCCTCATGATTTTTCCCATATTTATTTTACAACTATCTATCGCGACTCAAAGAAAAAGATAGTTTTTGGAAATATTTTATAAGTTTGTACAAGCGATCTAAAATGTTTCTTAATAAAAAAATCATTTTACTTAAAAATAGTACGCAAAAATTTTCAGCGTGTTATTTCTCGCTTCTGACATCACAATCCGACGTAGCCGTGGCGAGCTTTAACGTTTAAGTTATCAAAGAAGTATTATCACTCTTGTTACTGATACTTCAAGAGAGAGAGAGAAACAGTATAATGTATAATCAATTAAATAATCTCCCTATTATTGCGACACGCTCGATATCTTTGAATGCAATGACGCAATGAATGCGACATGAATTTGCACGAATAAAATATTCGAATATTTGCATTAAATGCATTCTGATGCGCGAGGCTTCATAGGGAATATCGGGCATCGTCGAGCGCGCGTGTTTCAACGTTACGTGTAACGGAATAAACGTTAAACGCGCTGGAAATGATCGAGTTACAGAGCTAACGTTAGCTTGGTTTTGTTAGCTGCGAAAATGCCGTTCCCAGAAACGGCACGAGAGTAACGCCGGACTTTTTTAATCGCGAACGTACGAACATCTGTAAAAGCGAAACAAATGTACACATTGCTCCGGGCTCGAATTGCAAGCACGACGAATAACGATGGTCGTTGTAACCGGATAAATCGATGTCGAGGGCGGCGGCAGAGCGGCAGCAGCAGGGGTATACCACCGCCCTGCGTCCGCACCACCGTCGACCCTACTTTTTCCATTAACGCCGATTCGGCACGATCCTTCCCAAGGTCTGACTCCGACGGTACGGGAAGAATAATAAGATCCTACGCGAGGAAATAGAGAGGAAGAGAGAGAGAGAGAGAGAGAGAGAGAGAGAGAGAGAGAGAGAGAGAGAGAGAGAGAGAGAGAGAGAGAGAGACGACGAGGTCGTCGCAGGTTCGCGTGGGCGCGAGAAGCGTAGTGTTTCTTCAGCTTTCTCCCTCCCACACCCATTGCCCTCGCCCCCTCATTGATTGCTTTACTTCGGCGACGTTAGTCCACCAATTGTAACGCGTGGGTCCTACGCCGACCAGTTCAATTCGTCTTATTGTCGTTTGCAGTTATTATTGTAACCCGTATCGGGGCGAGAATGTTCTCATCACCGTCGCTCGTTATTCTTTCCTTAGCGTCAGTCAGAATTATTGTCTCAGCGGGAAGAACGTGAGACACCGCGAGAGCGATCTTTCTGATATAATTGACAATCGTATAGATCGTCCACAGTGTCGTGACATTCGTCACGATTATTATTCGAATATTTTCGAAAAATAATTACTGCTGTTATAACTCTTGACTGACGACGTCAAAAGTGAGTAAATATGCGAAAAATTCTTGCAAAGTACGTTGAAATAGAAAAGATATAGTAAAGTAACATTTACAATCGATCGGGCAAATCTGTGAAATAGTCCCGATACTTTCCTTTCGTTCTAAAAATCAATAAATTACCGTAAAATTAACGACATGCAACCTATCCTTTTAATCTATGTTTTCTTATGATTCTCTGTCACATTAATGTTACAATTATTTATTGTTCGTTAGAACATGAGAATCGTGTATTTGGACTGTGGTTTATTTGGAGGGATTCTCTCTCCACAGACTACACACGTTACGTTTGCTTTCATGTAATCGCGTAAAACAGATTTGGCTCGTTTGCGGATATACAAAGAAAAATATTGTTGTCATGTGACGTTAGTAGAGAATATGTTAAGTAAAATTGAAAATTTTGAGTAAAGATGAATCTATAGTGCGAAACTAGTGCGTCACACATGTGTTAATAATTTTATAATTTCTAATCAGAATAACCGAGCGCTGTGCTCATACAGGTCGTAGTCCACTTCTGTGAGCGTGGGTTCGAATCTCGCTTCTGACAAATTTCAACATTTTTTAATGGAAATTCGTGAGAGAGGAATGCACGAGCGAGCTGGTACTTTGAAATTTATACAGTTTCAAGGATTTATCTGTATTTCCTAATTTTTTTTAACATGTCTCTACATTATACCAAAAAATATCCACGCCACTTTTCGGAGAGATAGAAAGCAGCGAGCGCACGTGGGAATTTCGTGACTACCGAGACCTCAGCGCGGCCGGATTATTTTCCCAAGTATTAAATGGCTCGATGGCCTCTCCTGGCTCGCGACTCGCAGTTCGCAATTCTGTCGCATCTTATTATTACCTGTGACAATTGTATGACATGGTCTTCTCACGCCTCGGGCACACGATTCCACAGGACATCCGTAAAGGTCGCAAACGTGGTGAACCTTCTCGGAACTTTGCCCACGGTTGCTTTATACTGTGCGTTCTGAGAAATCCCCACTGCATTTCCGCAGGTATGCCGAGCGGATATGCTTCGCATTATGCGGGACGTTTTCCTCGACTGGCGTTCCCGATGGTGCCGCAGACGACTCGAGACTACCAAGAAATGTCGTCACAGCAGATCGCTAAAAGCAATCAAATCGTTTGTCTCATCAATATTACATTCCTGCGATTTGTAGCAAGCGAGGCTTTTGAATTCAAACGTTCTGGTCAGGACGATTGAATTAATTAACCGAAAAGGGTGACCGAATTGAACGAACCGGTGATATTTCTTGGTCGAGTTATCATAAACAAACAACGTGAAATCTCTGGTCAGTTATCGAAAGGAATTTATGTGAGTAAATAGCATGTGACATTTCGTATGCTTCCGGAAACAAAGATTTTCTCAGAGGAAGGAAGATAAGAGATAAAGCTTGATATCGTATACCTGACAAGATGGGTATTTTATCGTCGAACGCAGAGGAGAACCGAGGGACGTGGTTAGAATCAGAGCGAAACACTGGTGGGTAGTTTTACGGCAGTAGATAGTGAACGAGAGCGCGGTGGGAGAGTTTACGTCGTGGGTTGCGCTGTGCGTGCCTTCGAGGAATGTGGGCGCACCAGTTTCGAGAGTCATTGAGAGCGAGATAGGCGAGCGCCCATATTCAGGACCCTACGGTCATCCTCGGAGCGTAGGAGAAGAGTGCGGTCGATGATAGAAAAAAAAAACAGAAAGGGAGAGAGAGAGAGTGAGAGGGAGAACGTCCGGATCCACCTACGGATCTGAATGTGCACGCGTTTTATCATCCGGGTGGCGTTGTAGTGAGTAACGGCCTGATTGCCCCGGTGATTGACCATTACTTCAATTAAGGCTGAATTTTTCAAATTGCCGAGGTTGTTTATAGAGAGGCTGCTCGGAGTATCCTAAATAGAAGGGCACGGCCAATTGCGGTTATTACCTGCTTGCGTACGCGCGCGTGTGCCTGTATGTGTGCGCGAGTATCTGTTTACGTACACGTATTACATAAAGATCGTTCATAGTATTTAGGAGAGGTAATTTTTCGCGATGTCTGGTAACCAACGAAAAGAGCTACTACACTGTGAAAGAAAAAATATCTAGAAAAATAAGAAATATTTATTCGCGGTAGTTGGGTAATATATTTAATTAAATTAAAATTTTTTGAATTAAATATAATAAGCAAAATTGCTATCACAAAAAGCTAAAGTTTTAAGAACATTTTAAGAAAATGTGTATTTTCTTGTTTAAAAAATATTTTATGTTAGTATATACGAAAAGAAAATATTGTAAAAATTACAACAATGTTTTTATAACTTGGGATCATATACAGAATTGTGTGACTAAAATCACTATATTTGTTTAAAAATGTCATACACGTTTGACAATTTGCTACAAAATTATTTGAATGTTTTTATATCATATACCAGAGTAGATCATCAACTTAATTATTTCCGTAATAATTTTTACTACAATTTCAATACAGTTCAGCTTTATAAATAACATAAAAATAAATATAATTTTGATGTAATTTTTATCATTTTCTCTGTATATAAATAAATGTTATAACCATTGAAAAAATATTTTTATTTTTTAGATTTGTTCTCTTACTTTGATTTTTTAAGTGAACACGTTACGTTTGCGTACATGCAGCAAATAATAGATATTATTTTAATTTGTCAACTTTCGATATGTTATCATCATTGAAATCAATTTTAGTTTTCGACATTCTTCGTTAAGTAATTCTGATTATTTGTAAAGATTAATGTCTTATAACTTTTATTCTTTTTTAGAGATCTTCCAAAGAGCAAAAGGGGGAAATTTGCTTACTTTTTTGGAATAAAATAAATTAGTCCTTTAATTTAAGTAAATATGAGGGAGGTATATCGAAAGTTCGCATATTGCATATAGATAACTTTCCTATTCCTTATTATGCGCATCGATATTGATTTATAAAGGATATAATTATGTCTGGTTGCAATTATCAGAGTACTTTAGCAGCTAATTGATATTGGTTAATTTAGCTTAATATACAGACATATACGCGTATATAATTTACACGTAATTCCTACGAAATGTGTATATTATAAATAGCAATTGTTTCCGCGATTAAAATATGGTAAGTACCGGACAAAAGGCGATGAAATATTTCAGTCTTCGAAACGATTTTATTGAACAAATCAGCCGACTTCTTTTAAAATAAAAACGAACGCAGAATATTTGCGAGCACATAATGCGCGCATAAAGAAACGTTTATTTCCAGAAATCAACGTAAACCTGTGCCAACTCGATTGTCTGACATATTGATCACACGCATCTGCCGGCGTGCCGTACATATCCCGTGCAATTTAATATCTCATATTAATTTCGCTATACAGGCGTATCAAGCGAATCGTTTGTCGTGCGCGGTATCTCCAAGGACAAAGGCAGATATTGGCGAAACGGTAAAAGCGATTCAAAAATTACGCAAAAGAGAATTATTAATTGCATGTGTGCGCGCGCGCGTCCCTGCGTTCTTTGTGTAAAACAAAACGTTTAAGTCAGGATTTTCGCGACAAATTGCAATAATGACCATCGTTGCCGATATTGCAGCGATGTACGACGAAAAAGAAAAAAAATGGGTAGCCCGAGCTACCCACACACACACACACACACACACACACATCCATACCTTTCTCGTTATCATTGACAACAGGATGTGGTCAGTCGTGACGGCGACAAACGGAGGCTATCTGTCGTTGACATTTAAAAATACAAACGTGTACTTTTCAACGCGCATCTCCGGCGCAAACTCGCCGCTTTGTCTCGCACATTTGCGTCAATGTGTCTCTCGGCGTGTGTCACGTTCCGTAATCCGGAAACGACGACGCGCGAGTACAGAGATACACGCGAAATTAATTTTTCCTTTTTTTTCCCCCCCTTTAAACACGACGCTTCTCCTGCCTGATCATTTCGACGTGACGTAAAATTTTATTTCAGCATCGCGCGGGTAACATGTCGGGAGGCTATAAAAAAGGCTGGGATTTGCGTTAAGCGATGAAGACGCTCTGAATGTCGCAAGAGAAAAATACGCGGGAGAAAAGGACGTTCTTATTTGGAAAATATCTTTATTTTTGCGTAAATCTGTAAATAAGATTACGCAGCGTTAAACAAAGATAAATTCATACTCGATACGTTCTATATGACTCAACAGAGACAAAAATATATTTCTGTTGTTCAAAAATAATTTTCACGAGTGAAAAGCAGCAAATGTTGGATATTGGAGAATATAATATTTTTAAGTGTCGGAAGAAGATACCATCATCCTCAAAATAATCGTATCGTATTCTCACGAGACTGTTATAATACTCAAATAAGATTACAACAACGTTGAAATTCAAGACTTCAAGATTTTTCAACAAAATCACATATCGTTGTTTGTACATGAAACATGAAACAATGATGGTTAATTGAGGTATATTGGTTTTAAGTGGACACTAATTTGTTTTCTGTGCACGACCTGCAACTCGGTGTGACATTCGCATCGCCGTCGTTCCGAATTATCTCCCTCGGGCGAAACGAGGGATATTGTTTCGACGTCTCGTACAATTCCTCTGTTATCGAGTCGCCCTAAGTGCGGGGGCGGTCGCACGCCGCACGTCGAAAGTTCTTTCGGGCTGTGAATCGGCAGTGAGCCGGCCGACCGGTGCGCTCGTACCTGTCTCTCCGTAAGTGGCGCATAAAGAAGCCTTTTATAACGTGTGCGCGCGAGCCGGCGCTGCAAAGAAAGCTGCCGGATGCGGTGAGGAGGCGAGAGGGGCCTCATTATCTTATCTCGAACCATTTCCTGTCAACCTGGGGCCGCCTTTCGTAGTAGTCGCGCTCGTGCACACCCTCGCACCGCGAATGCACTCACGCATCCGTGAGTGCGTGTGGTGGTGCTTGGGCAGCGTGGCCGCTTCCGGTGTGCGTACAGGCGCGCGCGTGTGCGTTGCGCGACGTCGCATCGCGGCTGTGAACTCGATAATCGTTTTCCTCTCGCCGTTGCACGTCGATGACTGCGCAAATGACGACTCCTCGCGAATTACTCTCTCCGGAAAAACGAACGGCTCGCCGCTCATCCCGAAAACGGCAACTTCGCGAGAGAGAGAACGGTGCGCAAAAAAAATATCGTTCTACTCTGCTAAAAAAAGCGATTGCTCACTTTACCTTCTTTCCTTTAAATAACGGCTATACTCAACAGAGGAGGTTCTCTTGAGAATAGTCTTGAGGAAAATGCATTTTGAATAAATCTGATCGTTATGGTGAATTTTCGGATGCGTAAATTTATGAAATATTTGAAACAAGTAACATTTTCTGATGTATAGTATGTATTTTTCTGTGTGTAAGAAAGTTAAAAAATCTGAAAATTGTGAGGAATCTTAACTGGGAAAAATTCAGAAATAGGAGGATTCGTAAAGGAAGATCGTAAGTTTAAAGAAAGAAGAATTAAAGGAAGAATTAAGCATTTGTGGAATATAATGGGAAATATAATGACTGAAAAAGAGTGACTGCACGATTGATGTATTTTATATTTTATAGCCCCTTTTCTCTCTCTCTATCTTTCTCTCTTGTAAATCTTGTATAATTAATCTTGTATAATTAAGTCTTAGTGAAATCTTACAATGTCGCGTAGGTTCAGTTTCCTTTCCTGTAATTGTTCCTGAAATTATTTACGAAATTCTGCGTATAATTATATGGATAATACGAAGATAAATATGGAAGACGAGAGTAATTCGCTGGAGTTCTATTTATTACTCCATTTAATCAAGAAAATCGTGGACTTTAAATAATTTAATAATTTAGAGATTATAACTCAGGACATGTCCATAAAGCGTGGTAAAATTGTCGAGCGACTCTAAAATTATACGTCAGTATATTACGAATAAAGAGAAGGCATCTCCATAATTGGACTCGCTGGGAGTGAGAAGACGAATCGATATAATAATTCTAGTGTCACTCCTTTTCGCCCTTCTACTGGTGGGAAAGAAAAAAAAAAAAATGAGAAACTACGACGATTTTCCTCGCGTATGATGAATTCATTTCTCGCGCGGATTATATCGATCCAACCGGTGGTACTCGCAGCCCAGGTTAACGACCTTGTTTTCCACTACGGCAACTCATGAGCAAAAATAGACATCGCGAATCCCCATCGACGTGCTCTGTCTTTTTCCAGACTGCACATCGAAAAAATTTAATTTCTAGCCCAGACATATAATTTCGCGTCGTAAGGCGCTACACGCCTCACGCTTGTTCTTGTTCCATAATGAAGCGATTTCTGAAACTTGGGGAGAATAATTGTGACTCAAGTGGCTTATATTGCTAATGGAATCCGCAGCCGTAACACGTGATACTCCATGTGGTAACAAAAAGAAAAAAAAACAACAAAATGTTTCAGTAACATTATTTTTCACTGCTGGAAAAATAGCGATATATCGGAAGAGAAGGATTGGGAAGGGAGGGGAAGAGATATATGGTCGGGAGTTTGAAGGGAATTCCTTGACACTGCGAGGACGAAATGAACGAAATTACGCGCGACGCGACACCAACGCATCTCGAGCTCGCGAAAAACGTCGAGACGTGAAGCGGCATTGACGCAGGCGGAGGCAATTGAAATGTTTCCTGCGGATGTT